TTGTCTGGGCTATTAAACGGCTTCGCTGATACCTTTGGTCGACAAAGTTTGTCATTTATTCTGATCACAAGGCTTTGGAGAGCATTGGCAAGGTCGGCGAACACAATGCTCGTGTGCAACGTTGGTTGGAGTATTTGCCCAACTTCACATACACTGTGGAGTACAGGAAAGGTTCGACGAATGGCAACGCGGATTTTCTTTCGAGACTGCCGTTGCCAGCGAGAGAGGAGGACAAGACCGGGCCTGACAGCATCGACGGTATTGACCAGGCGGGCGTTTTTCTCATCCGGGCTTGTGGGTTCACCTATCATTCGTCTTCTACACCGGAGGTCGGTTTGGGTGGGCTCCGCCCTCCCTGTTCCGATGGTGTTTTCCACCTTCTGTCTTGGAAGATTCGGACTATGGAGATTTTCGCAGACATGGACCACGCATGGACGAGCTTGCATCTTCGCCTCCTGCTGGAAAAGATTGCAGGAGTTCTTCGGGAGTTTTCGCGGTTTCGCCCGCTTCTGGAGATACTGTGCCTGTTTCTCCGTCTCCTTTCGTACCCATCAAGTCGCATTGTGCACGCCGGCATGTCCACGTTTTGTCTTCGTTGCCGGAACAAGGACCCCTTGTTTCTTCGAGGACTAGGGCCAGGACTTCAGCGGCGTCAGGTTCTCCTGTCGCTGGCCCCAAATATTTTAGACGACAGCCAAGGGCTACTGTAGTCCCTCGGGCTTCGTCGCCTGCTCGTCGCCCTAGCAGGTCTCGTCAGACGGCCAAGACAGCTGGGACTGGTCCCCCCTTGTCTCGGATTCCCGCGACGCCTACATCGGCGCCTTCGTCGACTGTTTCGGTACCGCCGGTGATTTCGCCGTCGTCTGCGACCCCATCTTCCCCGGTTTCGTCTTCTTTTAGGTCGTCACCTGGGACCACGGATTTTTCTGCATCTTCTTCGGCTGGTTCGTCAGGAGATTCTTTTGATCCAACCGCCGAGGATTCTTCCTATTTACAGGATTGTGTCCAGAGTTTCAAAACAGTGGATTGGGCTCGGGAACAACAGCGAGAGAGTGAATGCGTTGTAGCCATGCGTTTTCTCTCCCGAGGTTCTCCCTCTCCACCTCCATCGGATTTGTTGAATGTACCTGCCCCCCTTCGCTCCCCTAAACTAACGGATGTGTTGGCATTGGCTTCAAAAACACATTTGCATACAACCGACGCCAACATCACGCTTCTAGTTCATAAATCGGCGCCTCGGCCGGTTGGGCGTGCTGGAGGTAGGACCACTCGATTGCCGGATACTGGGGTACCCCGCATCTACGTGCCGATGTTGATGCGCCCATGGGTTCTCCGTGCTTGTCACACGACTGCTTCGTTTCATTTAGGAGTACACCGCACTTTACGGCTGCTGGAGCGTTTTTATTGGTGGTCCGGCATGGATCGCTCTGTTCGCTGGTGGCTTTGGTCGTGTTTGGTGTGCCAGGCTCGCAAGATTTCACGTCAGACCACTCGATGGCCCGAAATTGCCATGCCTTTGCCGCACGGTCCCGGCATTTTGGTAGGAGTCGATTTTTTCGGACCTTTGCCGGTGACTGCCAAGGGCAACTCCTACATTTTACTGTTCACGGATCGCTTCAGCCGCCGCGCGGATATGTTCGCGGTCACTGCGGCCGGATTCACGGCCAAAGGGGCTGCTAACGTGTTTGTGAACCAGTACATGACAAAGTGGGGATGTCCGACCACTTTGTTGTCGGACAATGGAATGCAGTTTTGCTCGAAACTCTCCATGGCTATCTACGACGCGATGAAGATCAAGAAAGTCACCACGAGCGCCTACCACCCGCAAACAAATGGAGGTACAGAACGCGTTAATCACACCATGGCTCAGATGCTTGCTGTGGTTGTCAACGAGAGCCAAACGGATTGGGATGTGCATTTGCCACACGTCGAGTTCGCCTACAACAACTCTGTCAATCAAGCCACCGGGCTAACGCCGAACGAGATACAAATGGGACGAATTCCGCGCTTACCGCTTTCGGTGTTTGATCACCCTACGGTTGGTGGTCATCAGAGTTTAGATCGCGACCAATTGGAGTACTGCAATTTGGCTGTGGACCACCAACGTCGGGCGTACGATCTCGTTCGTGAGTACAACGCGCTGAAAGTTTCGCGTGTCGAGCGCCGCAACTCCTCTCTTCTTGACGCCATCAATGAGCTCCCTACGTTTATCGCTGGAGGCTGGGTTTGGGTGTACAACACAGCTGCCACCATTCGGCGAGCGGTCAAGAAGGACACGGATCAACAGGTGCTCAAGGTTAAGTTTTCGCTTCCTTGGACAGGGCCCTACAAAGGTCTTGCTGTGGGTCCCGCCTCTGCTGATGATACTCCAGATGGTCGGCCTTTGGGAAGCAAACCACTGTGTCTCGATCTCCCTTCGGATCTTTCTGGTCCTGTGTTCAATATCGCCATTGTGCGCGGGATACAGGGCGATTCGTCGCTTTCCTTTTTCCGCCCTCGATTTTTTTTATGTCCTGGAGCAATTATATCGCTTATTTGGGCTACGTTGGTTGAAAGGTTTTGTCGCAGGCCTAGCCGTGGTCGACCCTGTTGATCGTTCACTCTATCTCTCTAAGTAGTCATGCCTTCCTTACCAGCGAAATCAACTTTGTCACCCTGAAGTGGTGCACCTACCGTGGCTTCCCATTGCTCCTTTTGATTGGGTTTTGAAGTTGATATTTTGTTGTTGTTGGCGTCTTCTGGACTCTTTCGGGTAGTCACTCTCATTCCTCCAGTTGAGATACGCGCCCGTGCGCGTAAAAGAGTGGTGTGTGGCGTTTTGATATTGATTTTGTATTGTCATCTATGTTAATGTGCTTTGCAGCATTTTCTTACCTAGCCATATCCCCTTTTATGGGTAATAGCATTTTTCATTGAGCCGCATTTGTGTTGTCAATTTGGTTATGCAAGCTCTGTCTCAATGGTGGTGTGGGGGGTAGATTCGGGATATTTCTACAGCTCCCCTTCCCTTGGGATGATATTGTGAAGAGTCATATCTTTCGATTCAGGAGTATTAATTATCAGCTCTTCTGGATCGAGTTTATTGGATTTGAGTATAGAATCTGCATAGATGATCTTCAGGGTGGGCTAGTGTTAAGGAGTGTTTCTGTACGGCCTAGATAGGGTACATCTTAGTCTAGTATAGGATGTGGGATGTCCGTGAGGTATACCTCTCAGGGACCATACCACATCAGGACTCAGCTATCTGCGTGCCCCCTGGTTGCTAGGAGGATCCCCTCCTCAATCAGACCTTCCTCGCTCTCAATTCAAGCAACATCTCATTTCTACACAATCGTGGAGACAAGGCATCAAGCGACCGTACCTCTTTCTTTACCCTAGGACCCAGCTGCTTCCAACAGCTTGACCTCCTTTATAACAAATTGTGGATGTACTTAGTCCAGGGTGAAGCATCGCCCCCCCCAGTGGGCGGGGGGGTCACAAGGTGATAGAGGTCGAGTAGGTCTGCGAGAACGACCGACGTGTGCTGTGCGGCTATTGCCGATGCTGTCAATCGTATATTTACAGTGGTTCGTGACCTCTCGACGATTTCATTTCGTGGGTAAAATGCAAGCAAACTTCATGTTGATCATTTGTCGAACACAACCAACGCGCGCGCGGCGTCACCAATCAATCCTGCGTTCGGTGCGGCATTAGTCGATACATTTCTTTTTTCGTGTAGGAATACCTAGACGATAGGAACGATTGTAACGTATTGTACAGCACATTGGGGAGAAGAAAAAAAATGTGACCCGAGATACGAAGAGGCCCCCATGGGGGTTGTAAGATATAGCCCCAATCTGGAAGTCGCCGGCGGCCTCAATCTCCTCCGGCGACGTTTAGAAACACTGGCAATTCTTCCATCATCTCTTCCCCCACCACAACGCATATTAGATTTTGCGTTCTCTCAGACACGCTCATGCTCCAATGGCGAACACCCGAAACACGGTAGCACAGTAGTCCGGGCCACAACCCCAATATCCAGATCACGCCATACATGCAGCCGTGTTGCCGACTCCGGATGATGCTAGAAAGACCCGCCTTGCACCAGCCGTCATTCTACAAACGAAATTTCCACAGCGTTACGTCAATCACCAGACGACCCCGCCCCGATCGTTGTGATGATGATGCTATAATCCAGCTTTCTCTTGTGTCAGCCAAAAATAAGGCGCCGAATCGTTCGACGACCCTCTTCCGCCAGCACGCAGGATAAGCGCGTACATCACGCCTCGCTCCTGAAACGACAACAACGCTCCAATCGTACCCACGCCCCGCTATGCAGGGATGCGACGCCAAACGTCCAAACACGAGATGACCCATCGTGACGACAACTCCGCCCTTGTCCACCACCCCGTGTCGTTTTGTAGTACCCAACGACTGCGTACTACTTCGTCTTAGCCCCAGCGGGCACACACATAAAGCGCGAAAGCGGTGGAGAGGAGGCTGGAACCTCTACGATAGAAAACGGGAAAGCGGTTACCGTTGATAGTCGCGATCGATTGTTGAAGCCACCCTCACCCTCGTGCCGGCGTTACAAAATGCTTAAAAGCGGGCCGGTGAACCTCACGACAAGACGAGCAAACACCCAGTTCCAACCGAACACAGGATATCTCCCCCGAGTGGCCTATCACTGCCTTATGGGCGGCTTGAGCTGCATTCTCGAGCACGCATCGGAGTGGATCGAGAAAATCGTAGTCCGAAATGAATATAAAGCCCCTGAAAGAGAGCCGTTGAAAACCGCCACGTGTGACAACGCGAAAAAGAAAAAGGTTGGAATAAGTTACATGCAGACAACACACCCAAAAGCGGGGCCAGACGTACCAACAGACCAGACCGATCAACAACATAAGTACCAACAGACAAGACCTATCAACAACACGTACCTCCCCCCCCCCGGTCTGATCGGGGCAATTCCGAAGTGCTCCGCCCCGGCTTAGAGTTGATACACCTCCTCTGCCCCGCCCCCCTCTACTCTCAATAAAAAAACAAAACTACGTCAAAATCGGTCCTCAAGCTCGAACGCATGCCTCGATCATCAACCACCTACAACATATTATCCTTTACTGCGTGCTCTAATCTAGGCAGCTGCTCTCTTAGCTCACTCTCCTCGATGGTGAGAGCGACGAACACCGGAGCTTTGCGAAATAAAACCACCGACGAGTATCTACAACACCTCCAACAAAGGCAATAGAAACGCCTCGCGTACGGTGCTAAAAATCAGCGGCGAGAATGTGCTTTGGCCTTCGGGAAAACAGCCTGTTCGTTCCCGCCACATCCAACTTGGCAATCCAAGGATCGGTACGCAAGACACGCACGCACGCATTTATCGACACTACACTGTCATTCCTTCCGACTTTCGGGTGTATGCCGTCCCCAGGCTCCACCGGTTTATGTGTGCGGCGTAGTTTGGTAGATCACGTAGATCGCCCCGTCCGCCGTCAAGTCAGGAGCTTCGTAGATCACGTAGATCGCCCGGTCCATCGTCAAGTCAGGAGTTTCGTAGATCACGTAGATCGTCCCGTCCACCGTCAAGGTGGGCGCTAGGGAAGATCGCCCGGTCCATCGCCGAGTCAGGCGAAGGTAAGGAAACTCGCTAGCGAGTCGGCGTCGCTCTGCCTCCGGAAGCGGCGAGCCTGCTCTTCGATATCCCTCCGCATTAGCTCGAACATTTGGCGGGCGTAGCGCGATTTTTCGTGTACCGTCACCTGCTTTGCATCGTCATCATCACCGTTGTCGTTGTCGCGACCCGGAAAAAGTTACGGAAACGGAAGATCCGATACCGACGACAAAAATAATGGACGGGGGACACGACGCACCTGCTATGGGTTCTCTATTCGATTCGAACCAAACAACAACGGCGAAGCAGACCGCAGAGAAAATATTTATTGGCCCCCAAGGTCGATAGAAGAGCGAGCGGCGCTGAGTAAAGACCTAATCAGGTACTCGTGATGCATTTGTACACATCCAAGGTATTGCCATCTCTTTCTGCGCTCGAAACCGGGAAATGCGACAAGACGGATAATGTGAGCTCAAAGAAACGCACGTTTTGCACCGGCGCCCCAATGCGCCATCGCTCGAAACGATTTTACAGCGACAACATAAAAGCGCATGTCGAATACATATGGCAAGGCATAGGACAAGGACGGACGAAGCTTCATGCAACCCCCCAAAAAAATCAGGAGGGTAGTGAGTGAGAAGTGGATGGAAGCCAGCTTCCTGTCGGTGGGGATGCTTCGTCGTATGAAATGTCTCCGGCGAAACCCCTATCCCATGACACTCGCCGAATACCTCACGGTGCTCCGCGCTTGGTGATGTGAAAGCCTGGTCCGGTGAGAACCCGAACGTGCTACGTCCCAGCGTTGTACGGATGCGAGGCCAATGGTCAAATGCCTCCAGCGCACACGACTATGAGTACTCCCCCCAACAAAACCCTTCGCACCTCCTCTATCTTCCCCTCCGAAAACTCCGCCACCTGGCGACCCAGCTCTTGCACTACGGCGTCGTTTCCCGGGGCTGTGAACATGAGCATGACACCCATCTTCTTCTGGAGGTCGAAGAGAGTGAACTCGACCCCCTGCCTCACCCTGCACAGGAAGCAGCGCACGAAGAAGACGTGCGACGTAGGGTTACAACAACTAAATATGCAGGATTACCAACCACAACTAGACATTCCTCAACGATACAACCGAAAAATATCGAGAGGGAAAGAGAAACACACAAAAAAAATGTACTGGGCGGGAGGTATCCCCCCTCTTTGCCATTACCAAGCCGCCTCCCATATCGAAGGCTGCCTTCTCGCTTCGAAGCTGCGGACCTGTCGAACCCCTCTCTCGCGTTGTCATCAAGGGCGAGCGCCGCAGCAGATGAATTAGTGTCTGTGAGACCGTCACGCGTACCAGCTCTCCAGTCCAAGGGGGAAGGGGTACGACAAAAAGTACTTCGAGACTCCTATTTACGGAGAAACACAAAAATACGCACATGTGTAAGCGTAGCAAAAAACACATGGTACGAAAAATATCCTTGTGTACATATGTGGAAGGAAGATCAAGCCAGTGGACCTCACCTCTTGTCGCTCCTGTCAAACATGTCGTCCAGCAGCAGCACAGGGGGGGTCGGGGAGCCGCAGCCCCGGGCTAACGCCATCGCCATCGCGAACCGGTAGACCTCGCCCCCGCTCAGGTCCCTACACGAAAAAACGACAAAATGAAAACCCCAAAGACGTTGATGTATTGCCCGTTGTTGTGGTTGTTGGCCGCCGTGGTCGTTGATGCAATGCATACACGGTGGTCGCTGTTGTTGGTTGTAGTTCGGACACAACCTCATCTGATGGAATCTGCAACATTCCATCGTCACAGGTCGTGCAGTAGCAACCGCGGCCGATGGGGGGCGGGCTGTAGGGGCTATGTACCTACCGGGTGCTCGACGCACGTTGAGGCTGAAGCCAAAATTGCGACAAGCACAGCTCAAGTTGTCCGTTTACAACAATACCATTCTCACAACAATAAAACATCGCCGAAACGAGAATCCTCCAGACTCAACACCTCTAAAGGCTTACCCCTACGAGCAAACCGACCCTCATGCAAAATGAGTAAATAAAATGTATACTTGCCGGTCCTTTGTAAGGCTGACCCCGTGCAGCTCCAGTGCTCCGAGCAGAGTGTTCGTCGTCAGCTCCACCTGGCGCCTGATCCATGTGGACAACAAAACGACGTGAAAATGAATTCCAACTGAGTGGATTATCTTGCACTCCCGTATATGTACAAGACTTGTTTTTTTTCAAAGTATTGAACTAGACAAAGAGAAGCAGAGCACCAGCATACAAACAGTAGTACCGGGAGCAGCAGCAGCGGCAGGAAGTGTTTCAGTGGTCAGACTCCTCTTGCTTCGCGTGTACATTCCCGGGTGAAAACAAAAGCGTTCCGATAAATGGCGACGTCAGTGCCAACGGGTAATTTCCGCCCAGATCGGTGGTTTCGAATCATGGGGTATATCATCCATCGCCCGTCAACAAGATCAGCTCGCGCAAGCTTTGAGCCCACGACCGGCCCGTGACCGCCCACAATTTCACGCTGCCAACACCTGGACACGCATCTACGACGTAGCCGTTGTCATCTCGCCGCCTTTGTCGAGGAGCCAACATGACGTCATCCCCGCAAAACAGAGACAGACTCAGCCCGTCACAAAGATGGCGGGGCGGGGCGCGGGCCTCACCCGTTGTTCTTGCCCGGGAGGTGGGACGCTACTTCCTCCCTCAGGAGCTGCCGGACCGTCTTTCCCGTTGTGCTGGTGATGGCTCGGCCGACGTAGACGGGCTTGCGGAGACCGCTCACCTAGCAAGCAGCAAGAGGAGGAGGTTCACGCAGCACAAGGTGGAAGAAGCTGACATGACTAGATGATGTGTATGTGTAGGCATGCCCGCCGAAGCAACTAAGAGAGAATGGATGGGAGATAAGGTAGATACCGGTGAGGGGGTAGTTGTGCGTAGGGACTATGATACGACGTCGATACTGGATGGAGTATGACGGATCTCCCCCCTCACGGGAGATCACACCAGTGTTATGGGGTACTGCTGTGTGCCCTCGGTGCTCCGGCCTTGCAAAGTTGTTCACTCCCGTTCGAGATTGGAATCCACAGCACTCTGCTAGGTTGTCAGGCTCACGAGCTTTCGCACTAGACCACAGGAGCGACAGTGCAAAGCGATTTACAAGAGTTCCGGGAGGCTGACAAACTGACAAACCATCTACGAGCTACATTACAGATTCAAAATACATGACGTTTCTCTCTTGTCAGCTGAGCCAAAATCTGAACGAATGCCCGACTAGATCGATACAGCAACTAGGTGTGCATTCATTCGATTTACTTTGTGCTGTGGCTCACCGTGATTTCACCGGACGTCGGGGCTTCGAGACCGGCGAGGCATTTGAGGAAGGTTGACTTCCCAGAGTTCCAAGGCCCCACCTGCACACCCGCCGACAGACGTCCACACACAAAACGTCAGAAACAGAGGCCAGCCACACGGCTGAACAAATGAAGTACAGAGCGGTATTGTGAATGCGTTGTTACAGCAGTTTAGGGAGAAACTGTGCGTCCTGGCGAGGGTTGTACTAAGGGGCATGGTAATCTTTAGGACCCTAGGGTTAGGCATAGCATAATTTCGGCACTAGTAGTGGAAAATCAACTGCACCGGTGGCGGTGGCAGCGGTCTGGACTGAGTTTGGGAATGAAAAATGGTGGCGGAATAAACGAAGCAGCAACGCCGTCCATCCTTAAAAAAATCGCATGTATTGGTAGAAGAAGGCCTCTGCCGTTTTTCATGTCCTCTCCCGAGTAAGGAAGAGCGTCTCATAAAAAAAAAATCAGCCTGGCGTCGGAAACTTGTCTGTGACTCTACGCACGCATATGAAGAAGACGAGTGTAGCTTTGAAGGCCCACCGTCATCATGGACCGATCCAGAGAGCTTGGAAAACCCGCAAAATATCGCCAGAATTTCACGGTTGTGAACGGGGTTTTTCGTCAAGCCACACGTGACAAGGTCGGGGCCCGGGGATGAGAAACGCCGTGGTCGGGTTGAAGCATTTTTGTAATCGTCACCACCGTCAAGTACAGTTTGCTGGCCGCTCATACATACTGCAAGAAACTCCACACAAAGCCCTAGCTGAGCAGAGATGAATGAAAAATATATACTTTGACCTAGAGTTTAGTGTAGGACCCTCGGCGGAGCCGTGGTTCCAACAGTAATCCAAGTTTCTTAGTCCTCGTGAAACTTGAGCCGTTCTACTAGACTAAATACTGCGGGGCCGCACTTGCAGTGCAGCAGTGGTGTACTCACCAAGGCCACCGATCCCGGCCCGTGGATATCAGCGGTAACTCCATCCAGCGCCGTCACGTGCTCGTCCTTGAAAAAAATGTGGTGAGTGTCGAATACCTGCCGTGATCGCGATCCGAATTGCGAGAAGGCGAGGGGTGGAGAGACGTGTCTTCAGAGGCACGGCGTAAGCACCCGCGCATACCATAACGAAAGTAACCACGGCGCTCGGGTATGGTGTGCTCTGTCGTGTAGGAAGCACAGCAGCTGCGAAAAAACTGAACACGGCTTCTTGCGGTCTACAGTACTCTACAGAGACAGTTGCTGTAACCGCAGGTTGTTGCCGGTGCGCAGATGACTTGAAGTTGAAAAGTCGAAAAGTCGAATATTTCGCCACTGGGCGTGAAGCAAAGGAGACGGCCACGCGGGGGAAGGCGCAGGTGGGCTACCCGGTACACAGCACGCAACAGCTGTTAGCGTCTTGCGCGAGTGTCACCTCAAGATTGTCTAGTAGATTGCGACTGCAGATGGCCTGTCGGAGATCTGCCTTTGGGGTGTTGCCTCAGGTTAGAGCCAGTGGACACGCTGAACCCGCGTACACAAGCAAAATAATCTATCTTAGACTCTTTTCTTCGATAGAGATGGATTCGTTGTGGTCATACTTATTAAATAAAACAGCGGGCCAGCTACCCACCCTCTCTCTCACACCAACCTTTATCGTGCCTCCATGCTCTGTCGCTCACGATCGGTTGAACCTGGTGGTTTTCCACACCTACAACCCATACGAAACTTGACCCGCTATGGCCATGCAGACAATCGTCTCATAGATGGTGTCAGCGGACGTGCGGGTTTCTTGGACTCTTTGGTTGGTGGCCTGGGCGGTTATGGGCCACAACCTCGGTTCCAAATGAGAGGATGCCCAAACTTTGCAAGACCAAGTGTACTGCTGTCGCTAAAACCATTATGAGTTCCGCGGCTTGCTCTGGCAACAGCCGTACAGAGCATGTGATCGAACCATTTTTGAGTGATCTAAAACGGCACCAATCGCTTTGTCATCTCGCTTTATTAAAGCCCGTTACGTCGGGGAAGCAAGGCAAGGCCTTATTCATCCCTGGTCTTGTGACTGTCACCTCAGATTGTCTCGTAGATTGCGAACGTCAGATGACCTGTCGGATATCTATCTTCGGGGGACAACGACGAAAGAGTCAGTGGACACGCCGAACCCGCGTTACACAAGCAACACAGCGGGCCAGCTGCTCGCTCTATCTCTCCTCAACCTCACCCAATCTCTACTATACATCCGTTTTCCACCCCTCTCGATCGGTTGAACATGGTGCGTTCTCCACACCACGCACCCCACAAGAAACTTAACTCGCAACGCGAACCTGGAGACACCCGTCTCATATTGATTGGCGTCTAGAAAGCTGCGTTGCGCCGCCCAGAGTCGTCTGGCGGCAAGGAAATCTCGTTGTTGACGGGGGTTGTGGCCCATAACCGCCCAGGCCACCATCAAACAGTCCAAGAACCAGATGTAGTTTCGTGGAGTTACTGGTTATGAGGCCTTGGAGATTGTGGGCAACAACCCCGGTTGCAAACGAGAGGATCGCCGAACTTGTCGCACGACTACTATTGTCGCCGACGCCAACATGAGATGACTGTCGCCAGGTTACTGCGGCTTACAAGACTCTGGCGACAGCAGTAAAACACACTGAGAATGTGATAGAAACTCTGAATGATTTTCGAGAAATTTGTAGCACCCTATTTCATCGCTTTCGTTGGCTCGATTAGAGCCCGTTCCGCTGGGGAAGGGCGTCGTTCATGCCCGATCTTGTGAATGTCACCTCAGCTTGTCTCGTCGATTGTGCTACAAATGATCTGCCGCAAGGTATACCTCAGAGTCAGAAGTGATCACGCTGAACCTGCGACAAGCTCCGCGGGCCAGCTGGCCCCGCTCTCTCTCACAATTAGCCTTTCCCGTACACACATCCGTTCTCCCCCTGTTATGATAGGTTGAACATGGTGTGTCCCTTGAAACACATGAGCGCAAGGCGAACCTGGAGACAACCGTCTCCTACTGCTCTGTGTCCGGTAAACACCAGGAAACACCGGCACTTCTAGATAACATCACAGAAACTTCCGCCGGATCTCGTGGTTCGTCCATATAACACACAGGCTCTTTTTCGGTCTGGGAAGCTGTGCTATGCATGCCGTCACACCTTCAGAACTACCCCCGGAACTCGACCTCTGTCGTAGAGCAGCAAGGAGAGAATGTGTCTGAGACGTACAGAAGGAGTGTCCGGGGGGAGTGGCGAAAGAGCGGAGGGCCGCAAAACAAAACAAAACACGATCAGATCCACACACAGGAGCCTCTCTTTCTTGCGGACCACTGAAACACGCACCCACCTTCGTTAGGTCAGTAGCCCGTATTACTGCTCTGGGAGCAAATACTTTTGGCCTGCAGGAACGGACGAAGCGGACGGTGGCAGCGGTGGTAGGGTCATCCAAGCTTAGATCAGTGATCCATACGCACGCGTGCACCAGCGCAGCCGTGTAGTATTCTTTTCGGCAATGCAAATCTACAGAAAAAAATCAAGTCCCAAATTTGCGAACTGCAAGTACGACGACGGCGTGTTTTGCCCTACCTTTTTCTGCACTGAGCCTCGTAGGCCACCGCCGCCGCCTTGCTCTTCCCCGCAGCGATGTCAGGGAATATGGGAACGGTACCGCTGTAAGCTCTTGTCTCCTGCGGGAGAATAGAGAACGCTGCCGTTGCCGCCAGCAGGAGAGTTGAAGTTGACGTGCCCGTTCGTTTCGTCGCCACCATGTTCTCCGTTTTCCTCGAGCACCCCCACGGATACCTCTACCGATCACAGCAACTTTGAACGAGGACTTTCGTCGTCGGTGGAGGAGGGTGGGGGGAGCGGGGGGGAGCCACCGCAGAGGGCACAGCAGGAATACAGAGAGTGAACAATACAACGCTGGTCTCATATGGGAGATGGAAGATGGGAGATGTCGTAGATGTAACATCGCCCTGTTATTATATGTAAAATAACGCCCTTGTTATTGCCATATTGAACTCCAACATCTCCGAGGGAGGGCATCCCAGCAAGTCCCGGCACCCGGCACGGAGACGAGTTCGTTAGGTCGAGAAGTAGTAGCGTCCCAGGCCATATCGAGCGAGAAAACTAGGGATATGTCGCGGCACCGGCAGCAGATGCCTCAGACGTCCATCGTCGTGGGCGGCGCGGACCAGTTCGGGGCACTCGTCGTCTCAAACGCCAAGCAGCTTGTGAAGAGGCACCCTGTCATCAGCGTTTCGTGGGTTGTGGGTCTGCTGGTGTCGACCCTCGCTTCTGGCTACACCCCGTCTACAACGGCCATGCAGAACTACGAGGTAAGCACACTAACACGGGAGGCCCCTGGGCTGAAGTTCAGACCCTCAGAAAATTAGACTGAGTCCCACGCGGGGTCGGAGAGTATGTCAGGATTTTGCCGGATGAAGTTGTAGGTACTGCAGCGCGTTGATCTGAACGGCAGCAGGCAGCAAAGACTGCTGTGTTCGAGAGCACGCCGTCAAGAATGCAATGCTGCGCAAATTCAGCAGGGGTAGCGGGGACCAGCCTTTGGAAGAATCCTTGTGATGGTTGCAAGAAGTAAGGACAGTTATTCCTTCGATGGTTTCTCCTTGGTACAATTTACCATGCATCCGCATTCGAGGCATGCGCTGCTGTTGCTGTGCTGGGAAGGTCCGAAGGTCCGAACTGGGGGTTAGTAGCGTACCGCGGGGTGTATCACGCCTAGGGCCTACGATACAGGACCCTCCGCATGAACGCGCCAGGGAAAAACAATTTTGAGATAGCTCACACCTGATCACAAACACCCCGGGTAAAACCCTTCCCTTGCCACGCAATAGCACCCGGTATCCACGGACAACACCTCGCCCCATGGAAACGTCTACTAAACAAGAGTACCATTTTCTGTAGAGTATCTTTATCAACCTCTCCGCTATACGCTTACGGGATATAGGGCACACGGGTCAGGATATCGTAGGGCATGAGAAACGGTAACGTTCTGGAGAACACCGTTGCGAGAAATTCGCAGGGAGGCGCGCAAAATTGTGTCGTGGACGGCGAGAACACGAATATGTCCGCACGACACGTGTCGTCAGCATGCGGCGGCCATCTGGACAGCAGTGGCCTTCGCCGGGTTTTTCGAAACGTGTTGGACAACCGCCAACTCCTTCACGGCTAATGAAAGCTGGAGCGCAATCCGAGACAACATGCTTGGTGGAAAACAGAGTCCTTTTGTATGCAAACTTGGGTTTTTGCCTGTAAGGCAAGGCGCCAGTACACACTGCCCAATGATGTTTGTCTTGCGACCATCGGTGAACAGCGGGAGGGAGGAGGGGGTCTTTCGTGTGCAACTACAAAGGTTGCCGGTTGACTTTTGTCAATTCCACGGTCCCGTTGCCTGGTGTCATTGGGACAGAGGGGGTCTTGGGGCAGCTGTTTACGCACGCCATTTGCCTCCCACACACGACCCATCCTGCCGTTCATTATGGACGCCTCAGAGCAATATGCCGAGCCGGGTTACTCGCCCTTTCTACACGAGCTCGTTTCGAGCTTGACATCTCAAACGGCCTCGCGAACATATCACCTGTGCACGTTGCGTGCAGATGTTCATTTTTTTTTATATCATGTCAGTTTCTCCCTTTCATTTTTCATGTTTTTCTCACCAGAACAAGATGATTGGCCTGGACGATGAATCTGTGATGCGAGCACAAGGGGAGATGGTGTACTGGGACGATATCTACAGGAGGTGAGTGCTATTTCAAAGAACACGCGCCCCTGTTCCACGCCGGGGAGGAGTTAGAGAAGGCTACGTACACGGCGACGGTGCCGTCCTTTCCGATAATTTCTTACCCGCCGCAACCGTAGGTCGACAGAAAGTGCGTGCATCATCCGCGTGGAGAGAGTAAAGCCGAGGCTTTGCGATAGCGCTCGCGACAGCGCATGTACTGTGTGTTGACGCTTGGCGTGGAGAGAATAATAATCGTGTTCTGACGCTTGGAGGCGACGCGGTTGGGGTGTGGTGGTGCCAACAGGTCGAAGGGGATGTTCTGGACGTGTAACGAGCAATGCACTGCCAACAGAAAGGAGTTCGAGCGGCGTCGGAAGACTTACCTCGACCTCAACAAGGCCTACCTGAAGGGGGAGGCAGATGTGAGAAGCATGGGGGTCGTGTTGGTACAGCTGGCGCTACAAGCTGTTGATACCGAAGACATTGGTGCTGCTTTCGTCGACGTCGGCGCCACTGATGATACTGCTGTGGTCGCTGCTGATTTAGCTATTGTTTGCCGTTACCGTTGATGATGGCGGGTTGGTGACAATGGCGAGGATGTGTGGTCGCTGCTGCTGATGATGATGAAAGTGATGGTGTTGGTACGGCTGGTCCTACTGACGCTTTTTCTGGTGGTTCTGGTGACGAAACTGGTGGGTGTGGTGTGGTGTGGTGGCGGTAGTGAACCGTCTTCACGGACAGCGGACGCACTGAACGAGAAAACGCGGAAGCATTACATGCCACGGCCGTTCTCTGCTGTGTGGTGTTGTAACTGGCCACGAATACAGGCGAAATCCGAGCTCGGGATTTTCTCCGAGGATGGCGTCGAAGAAACTCGAGACCTGTTCTGGCGGAAGGTATGCATTCGCGGCCGCTCTCTGTCTGGCTATTTTGTGTGACGCTGATCCGGGCATGTGGCTGTTGTCACGGATTTTTGTAGGTTTTCACTACCGTAAATGTGTATAATATCTATGTAACCGGAAGATACGTGTTACGACCCCCCTTCGTTTTCCTCCTGGTGTGTACTGTTATCCTAGAGGCTACAGGGTCGGATCGTTGTTGTTCACGAGCTGCAGCAGTCGATGCTCTCCAGAGTGAAGCAGCAATGAAAAATTCCGAAGCAGCGAGTAGCTACTGTTTCAATTTGAAAGTCGTATCTATGTTTATGGTCGTAATGATCTGACCGGTTGGGTCAAGGACATGCTCAGCATCATGTTGTACGTCAATTTTAGAGAGCGGACACCGAATCACACCAGGGTCGGCTGTTTCTCCATCAGGAAGAAGATAGGTGGTCCCTCCACCTCCAACTGGTCGGGTTGCTGTGCAACGGGCAGACGAAGCAGAAATCGGGCGAACGCCCCTTCAACGGCCAAAATGAAAGAAAACCTGATACGCCCACCCGTTCCCCGCTCACAGACGTGTATACCAATTCATAAGATTTTTTGTCAGCGGTTCCAGAAACGTTTCTCCGTTTTCTTGCACGCCTCTTTTGGCCTTGTAATGACTAGGACATGAGGCAAGCAACAGTCTGAAACCTCCCCCCTACTCCGTCCATCTCTGCCCCTCCCCCCTCAATACTTGCGCAACTGCCAGGTGTCCGGGGGAAAGCAGTTCGCTAAGCGGGCGACGATGTGGGATGCCATGTTCGTGGGCATCGGCACCATGACCAGACGGGACGAAGGGCTAGCTTCAATTGTTGCAAGGTGAGATTCGTGCCTGTAAAATGCTCGGAGCCCCCAGGTCTTGTGCTGTGTGGGTGGGTTTTGATATCTGTAGGCGGAGGGATTGTTTAGTGTCGCGTCGGTGTGGTTGCTTTCCCGTACGAGTTTCCCGGTTCCTTGAGCGGTTGGTGGTGCACGTGTTCTCCGCACAGCGGTGATGCGTTTCATCGTGATTGGGCAAGCGTGTGCAGGTTTTTCACTAGGGGACCCTCTCTTTTGGGTTGTGGTTGTCATCGCAGCAACAGCAGTACTTGTTGGGTGGGGGAGGGCGCAAAGATGTTGCCGTTTTCGATCTGGGGGTGTGTGCACTAGTTTGGATCGCACACTGGTTACGACGAACAGCGGCACGGCACCGAAGAGCGAATTGCTTGGTCGCTGATAGCGGTAGTCGTGGAGGTGGTGACGTTGGCTCGAGCGTGCGCGATGCCCTGACTTGGCACCGGGAGCGACGAGAGGTAGCAACGGCGAAGGAAGACTGTGTTGGAGGTGTTCTCTCTGTCGAGGTTTGGGCCGCGCGGTACTGACAACATGAAGGGTGTGACTGCTTTTGGGTGACATTTGTTTCTTGTGTTCCTCTTTGTTGACCCCTCGCCAGCCCGCGGTTATATGAATAGTATCGTTCCGAAGCTAGGCCTCGATCGAACCCATCTGTTTGCGTCTAGGTCGAACATCTTGGTGCCCCTCAAGATTGTACGGACTGTTGTTCAGTGAAGAATGCACGTTGTGTGTACCACGGACGCATCAGCGGTAGTGTGCAAAGACATCAAAGTAGCTCCATTGCAGTACCTCCCCCCCCCCCCGCCTCTTCGCGCGCACGAATACCGTACACAGGATTGCTTTCCGGTTCGTGGTGAACCTTACCATGGGACTCTTCATGGCGGTTTTCCAGTTCCTCTTCTCCATGTGGACCGTCATCTGGTCCTACCAGCCGGACCCGCTCTCCACCCTAGCCTTCGCGGCCATGGCGGCTCTCGGAGCGGTGTCTATGCTTGCGACGTGGCTGCTCGGCTTGGCGGCGGTGGGGGTCACGGGGGTTTACACCGTAGCGAAGCTCGCGGAGACCGCACAGGTAAAACGAAACGTTCATGGAGATACCAGCGATGGTTGCTTTGTTTTATTTGCCCTTGGGCAAAGTTGTTTCCTCGCTCGATGAGACCGCGCAGGTGAAACGAGACGTACATCCCAGTGATACGTTTTTCCTTGGTGATGTCGGTTGTGTGTTCCCGAGCAAGTTTTTGTTGAGGTAGGATATAACCACCTTTTTGCTCTCATGCTCGATGGGGCGCTGCTCATACCTTGATAGACGGGGCATGCTTGCTTGGGCGCCAAGAGGTGTTATTTTCCGTTTGGACTCTAAGGGTTGAGTGAGTAGCACGGGATGGCTTGGCACAGGTGGTGGTCGGTAAGAAGCGACACAGGCTCGGCGCTGACGCTGTATTGCCGTGTTTTCACTCTGGAGAAATTCGAACGCGCAACAATCTACATATAATCAGAGTGTACGCAGTTGCCACAACCACAGGGGTCGCCGGGGGAATGCAAAGTGGTACGAATTTCGTGGACTCTCAGTGACCAGTCAGTCCGTCTCTGAGGAAGCACGACGACGTATACAGCGCCTTCGCAGTCGGGCGTCCTTTTTCGCCTAAATATTCTGCTGGGTAATACACTTGTGCCATGTTATGCGCGTCTTTTCACTCTCGATGTGGTCTATCTGATGGTGCATCAAAGATCAAAGTAGATCTTGCGTCCCATGACGAGCATGGTCAATTGCCCGTCTACACAGCGGTCTATGCTTTATTTTCACTCCGAAGGGGAAACACGGTTCGCAACATTATTTTTCTTGCCGAACATGCATGTGGTGGCAGATCGAGGCTGCCCGGCAACAGGGACAAGACCCGCGACGTGGGCAGTACGTCCAGCAGCAGCAGCAGCAGCAGCAGCAGCAGCAGCAGCAGCAACAACAACAGCAGGGGCAATACCGACAGCAGCAGTCCAACCAGCAGCAGCAACAGCCTAGGCGGAGACCAGCGGCGACAGCACCGCCTCAGCCCGCCATGTCTTCGAACTGGTCGAACATTGATTGAAGACGTGGGGTGGGGGGCTGTGTGGTTTTTTGTATTTCGTGGGCGTAAGGCACCCTCCAGTTTGACCCCAGTAGAGACCAGGATACCTAAATGGTTCATCAAGCTGAGCAGCGTGACGGCGGAGGGTATCTGAACAAGTTGGAGATTGTAGACGAGTTGAATGGCCCCCGACCTTCGGCGTTTTTGAGGAAACGACCAAGCGTGTGCATGTACCGGTCTGTCCCCCTACAACGTGCTGCGATGTAAAACTACTTGTACGACATATATATATAGTAGACGGACGTCTTGGCCGTCGTGGCCTACAGTTCACTCTAAATATGTCGGTTGCAGCGGCCGGGGTTCTCGGATCGTCTCAAACCTGATTAGATTGCATAAGGTACCACACCCCCAGCCTATTTTCAAACCTCAATCACTCCACGGCGAAGACGGTGCCAAAATCAAGTGACCCGTTTGCGGAAAAAGCTCTTGGCGAGGCGTTTCCAAAGGCGCTATTCCGGGCACCATTTCGTTTTTTTGTTCCGTAAGAGTGAAATCGACCTTTGAAATTCGGTCCGGGGTATGTGGTATCTTGTGCCACCTATGGCAATACTTCACTTCGGGAATTGCATAGATACGATCTTGAGAGTATGTGCGTCGTCAGCATGCCACACGCTACAAAGCCATGGACTTGTTGCCGCCATGTCGGTGTGCGCGAGCAAAGGCCTCCCGATGTAACTGTTCAAGTTCTTGAGTGAGGCGCCCATGTCTTTGCTGGGTGTAAATTGTGGACATGCGCTCGCACCCAACATTCGGTATGGCATTTGGGAGGGCTGAAGGACAATTGAGCAAGGGCCAACATCCCGCCTATTGCGCAAACGCTCGTTTTCTTTTTTGATGCAATATGGCAGACTCAAATGAGTTCTGTAAGCAGTGCACTGGCCATTGCGTGTCAACGCCAGCAAGTCAAGCTTGAGTGGATGTCCGGGGTCTCTCTCTTCCCCATCTTCAGATCGGCCAACACTGAATGGCAACTGCCCGAAACTCCTACCGTTGCTGTAAGGTAGCATGTGTTGGAGCCTAAACCATCTGCGTAGCTCCGAACTTCACGGTGCCAAAAATCATCGTCCAACAATATGTCCTCACAAATTTCACCCGAAACAGATTCATTCTACATCATGCCGACCTTTTCATGGCTTTTTCGACGAACCAGTTCCCTCGTCCGCCTCCGTTCTCTCAAAATTGTCCTCGACCTTTTATCCTCCAAGGTTGGTTTATTCCCGGTCCAACAGTAACGACACCCACCAAAAACATCTGCTGCAGTTGTGCGACTCTACGTCACTTGAACATAGGTTTTCTAGGGAGGCAGCCGTTCACGATAAACTTCTAGATGGGGGTAAACCTTGTCCCTGGATTCTGCGTCTGTAAATTGGAGTCTTGTGCCAGATCACCCCATTCGATTCTTCGCGCAAAATGGTTTCCGTCGTGCGGAGCCAACCCCCATCCAGCAAAGACAGGAGAAGGTTCACCACAACAGCCATCGTTACACAGACAGCAGCAGGAGCAGCCCAACCTTGCGGTGTATCGCCGCCCACCAAGAGTTGGACAGATGTTCTGCGTCGGGATTGAACACCAATTGACGCCGACCTCGTGCAAACGTCACGCCCCTTTCTTTTGGGTAGTCGAACCTCTTCCGGCGAGGTTTAAATGGTAAATGAACCCGTGAGGGCCGTGCTATGGCCAAGTAGGGTCAGGACCGTAACGAAGCGATCAAAGAGAAGAAATGGCGCGAGAACCGAAATGAACACAAATCAGGCGGCGTGCCACAAGACACCTGCGGTGGGCGTGGTCCCCTAAACCCACAAGGGGGAAGTGGCCCCTGTGTGAGGTCGGACATTGCCAATGTATCTCGCCCGGCTTTTTGCACGTGGCACTATCAGAGTACACAAGGAACATTTGAATATTCCATCTGTCCCGCGATTGAATCGGCCCTGCAGAGGGCGACTACGACAGCCCTATTTGTGCGGCCTACACTCAGGGACAAAACCTTCAATTTTCTTCCCCGAGGGCATGTCAAACGTCCGTGTGTTGCCGCTACCGAGGAGAATAGCGCAGCCACAGAGCTGTGCCCCCTCCATGCATGTGCACATGAGCCGTGGGTTCGTCGAAACGCTGTGCAAGTTTAAAACCGCCTAGTATCAAAGGCGATAGATAGTGGATTAAAACCCCCTGGATCTATTTCTGTTCCACTCATATCGGGACCACATCAGCTGCTGAGGCAGGCACAGAATTCTCCGCCACGCGCGAAGAAAGCAATACCTCTCTACAAAAACGCACTCGCAGCCAAGAGCAACAACAGAGACGAAGAATGGCAATAACGGTACTACTCAACCCTGCAAGCACTCTAGTAGGCGAAACCTGCTGTTTCCGCTACCCCCGACAACTTAAGCAGTTATCTCGGAGAGGTTGACTGGGCGGCCCTCCTTAAGGGACTTGTCGCATGCCATGGCCATCTTGAGAGCGGCCAAACCGTCCTCTCCCGAAGGGGTGACGTCACCGCCCTCCTCCAAGATCTTGCAGAATGCCTGAATAACATACCAGTGGACACCCAAAGGAAAGGGGGGAGTTGAGTCAGGGGGAGAGGGACGGGAACGGATGGGAACAGAAGCACGTACAGAAACACAAAACTAGAGGCATAGATGGACTCAATAGGTGAAACCCGGACACTCTACCCACTATCGTGGGAGGGGGTTGGATACGGATTTCGCAGTGTAGCATGCGGCATTACCCTGCAACCTGGCGTATGTATTTGGTCACAGGTTAGGTCAAAGCACGCTCGTTATTTGAGTTGTGAGGTGGGTTCTTGAACTACGACACACTCCAGTTGACAAAGCAGAACGCGCCAACCGAAACATGGCAGCGAAGGGTTACGAGCATGTCCGACACGACGCTTGCACGCCGTTTGCCCCCCCCCCACCCCCCCCCCGCTCAACAGTCTTGCTCGCGTCTGCATAGCGTGGATGATGGAGGTGCACGATAGATTGTCCTTTGCCGTTCGCAAGCAACCCACTACACACACGGAGATGCGGTAGCAACGCGTTCATGGCGGAGTCAACCCCAACAGCCCCTCCTGCGGAAAGGAACAACAAATCCTTGCAACCCGCCGTGACGAAAACGCAAGTAGGCGTTTATGAAGGGCGCCGTCGCCGCCGGTTCCCCGCCGTCTTACCCGGGTCTCGTTCTTGTAGGCGTCGGCGTAACGCGTCATGAAGAAGGCGTGCGGCAGGTCGGCCTGCTGCACCGATGTTCCCGTCCACTTCTGCACCGCGCTTGGGAAGTGGTTCTCGTGCTTGACGAGCCCGTCCGTGCCGAAGAACTCCACGCGCTGGTCGTAGCCGTAGGTGGCCTTGCGGCACACCTGCAGGAACAACGGGCATGGTTCATTCGTGTGCGCACAAGCACCGAGGGGGACAAGGAGAGACGGGGTACGAAAGAGAAAAGAGTTCACGTCGACATGAAAAACGCAGGAAAGAGAGGGCGACGAAGTTAACCAATCCGTCCTGCGGGTGTGCGCATCAACAGCAGAGAAGGAGCGGTGCAGTCAGGAAAAGCCGCGCTGCTTGTGGACCACCTCCCCCGGCACTGGTCGTCCGACAAGGCCGTGCGCATCTTTGCGAAAACACCGAAATGCCGGCTCAAGCAAGCACGCTGAACAGTACAGTACCCGTCCCCGCTGTAAGGCCACTTATCTGCGCACTCCAAAAAAAAACATGAAGCGTGGCAGCATTATCCTTAAAATGACAACCGGCCACGTATATTCTGCGGGGCACCACGCTTCTGACAAAACACGGTCTCCATAAATGCGGGTGAAGTGTCCTAAATACTGATGCCCCTAAAGCTGGCACCGCTGCTGCAGCATAACCTTCTTCCACATCGAAACCCGCACCTGGATTGTGGCAGTGGAGCCGCTCTCGAACTCGATGAGGATGTTGGCGGTGTCGATGGCCTCCGAAGGGTTGGAGTCCTTGAGCTCCAGGATGCTCTTGTCCACGTTGCACGCGCCGGTGGCGTACACGCGGACCGGCTCGTTGGTGCCGCACGAGCCCATCAGCCACCGCGCGATGTCGAGATCGTGGATGGCTGAGGGTTATTGGTCGTGGGAGGGGGTGGGAGACGAACACGGCATCGATTTGAGTGTCTACTTGCCTGAACTTCCAAGTCAAACAACAAAATCAACGGCATCGATCACAACAGTAACAATCAGAACAACTTACGCCACGAAGAATACCGTTAACACTACGCCACGACTCACCCATGTCCTTGAAGAGGCCGCCGCCTCCCTTGACGTAGTCGAACGGAGGAGCGGCGGGGTCCCTCGACTGCAGGACGGCGGACACCGGCGTACCGACCTCACCCGCTTCGATCATAGCCTAAACACAAAAAGTTGGCGGGGGGAAGAGGGAGGATGGCGTAAAATAGATAAAATTGAAACAGGTTGTGGACGAAACTCGTTGCGACACTTTCCTCCAGTAGAACCCTCGGCAGAGTTGGCAGTATTACGTTGGTGTCACGTGAGAGAAAATCGGATAGAAATTTGCACATTTGGAAAGCGGAGAATTGACGAAACGCAGCAGTCACATGCTGGTACTTCAAACGGAGGGGTGGGGGTAAGGGTGAAACAACTGGATCGGAAAACGTAGGCCCAATTAAGCCAAGCGAAAGAGCAAGAGACAAGTGCTTACAGAGCGGCTACGTGCGTCTATCGGTGGTGATTGCTGCGCGGACACAGGACGAAAAGCGCGGAACGGGTCCCCGGTGTGAGCACCCGAGCCCCGGTTGCACAATATTCAATTCCGAGGCGTTCTCCTTCCGAAACACGTAACTACAACAGAACCAACAAGACCAACAGCAGCAGCAGCAGCAGCAGCAGAAACGACAAACAACACAAACAGCACGGTATCATTAAAGTACCTGGAGTCGGCTGAAGGAAGGGTCGAAGCGTCGCTGGAACGCCGTCATGAGCTTCACGCCGCAGTCCTTGGCTACCTGTGTTCGCCCACCAGGTCAACATCCCATCGCATCCCATCCCAAACCGCATTTATCCAAGCAGGGGGATTGGATACAACAGATACAAAAAAAAACAGCGGAGTTAATAGGAAGCCCAACACCATGCAGGTGCAAATGTTGAGGTGTCATTTTGTAGCTCATCCGAATCAACTCAAGTGACATGGAGGCGTCGGAGACCAAACAACACGTTAGGCCGGCAGCACCAATCAGCGACCGCACGAACGTTGCGCATGTCGTTGCACAACAGCAATGCATGGCTTGTGTGGAAGGACAAAAACCGCTTCTAATACATGCATCGGCGTTACTCTCTCGTGCGCCTACTGTACGGACTATCCCCACACCGGGTTTGAGGTAACCACAGCAGTGAATTAAGCACATGCCGTCCCGCCGAAAAAACGAAAAAACCCTTCCCTCACGTCGGAAAACACCTCGTTTGCCGGTTGCTCCGCACTCAAACGGGAGATCTCGGTGGGAAAACCTCGTCCTTGTTTTCTCCCCGTGAAGGCGGGAGGACGGCGACTGAAGAAAATCACAAACCACACAGACAAAATAGAAGAAACTACACAATACGAAACACCCAAAATGTGGAGACCACCTTCATAAAGGTAGAAACTCCCCAACGTCTGTCGAGGACGATTCCCTCTTTTCACAATGGCGTCGACGTGAGATGTCAGGGTGTCTGCTTTTGGTTGCAAAAGACACGGGTTCAAAACCCGCTGGTCACTAAATTTTCTTCCGGATAACGGAAAAAGAAAAACGGTGGGTGGGCCAAGGGAGGACGCACTGGCTATCGAACTCGGAACTTCTGAAAACGTGGCGGACGTAGCGAACCCGTAAAACACGTACAGAGGATTGTGAGGAATGTGAATCGCCCCGCCGCCAGCCGGTCGGGTTCCGGTTACCCCAAGAAGACTTCTCTTGCCTGGGCAACAAGAAAAAGTCTCGAAAAAAGGGGGGGGTAATGTGGAGACCACCTTCATAAAGGTAGAAACTCCCCAACGTCTGTCGAGGACGATTCCCTCTTTTCACAAAAACCCCAAAAACAAACACCTGGACGGCAGTCTCCATGAGTGTCCGCAAATGGATACTGCTGTATCGACAGATGAAAATCACAAAATACCAACAAAAATGTTGAAAGACAAACCAACCACATAGCTGGACAGCGTCGGTGAATTCCCGCGAAATAGATACAGTGCCGACTCCAGAAAATGACAAACTAGCAACGACATTCGAGAGGCAAAAACAACAGAAATACGAATCACACACCCCAAAACACACCTGGACAGCCTCGATAGTGCCCGCGAGGTCGGTGGCGATGGGCTTCTCGCAGAAGATGTGCTTCCCGGCCTTCGCCGAGGCCTTGATCTGGTCGGCGTGGAACTGCGAGGGGGAGCAGATCCACACGGCCTCCACGTCGGGATCGTTGATCACCTCCATGCCCTGTGCGGATGTTGTCGCAAGGGAGAGGGATGGGAGAGGTCGGGATCATTGATCACCTCCATGCCCCGTGCGGTTGTTGTCGCAAGGGGGGAGGGATGAGAGGATGCGGGGAAGTGCACTCACGTAAACGCACGCCGTAGTCGTCAGACCATTGCCCTCGCATCCTTACGATGATGCCGGGACGCAGCGATACAGTATGCCGGGTTTTGGTCGCGGCCCAGGCTATGATTCATAAGGATGAGCCAGAAGCTGGTCATCATTGTTTGCGGTGTCAAACCGGATATGCCGTGAGTGGGTGGGTGGGGAATCGTGGCACCATCACACCGCAATGAGAGCGTGCGGTGGATGGGCAACTCTGGGAGGAAGGGGGCGCGTTTGCACCATCACATCGCAATCGCCTGAGACCTTCTCCCGGCCTGCGGTGTGTCGGGAGGCACAGAGAGGGACGTTTGCACCACATTACAATCGCATCAACCGCCTTCGGGGAACTCGGCGTCTGGAAATACACGGAGATACGCTTCTGCACCACATCACAAAATCGCATGGACACGCCTTCACGAACTGCTGAGTGCGGAAATTCACGGCGAGGCCTTCAGCACACACGATTCACAATCGGGTTGAAACGGCTCCATATCATCCGTGAGCCAACGCCATTTACGACGTCCAACCCCGGTGCCACGCCCGGGTCAACAATGTGGTGGTGAGGTGATGGATACCGCTTGCTTCGTACGGTTGTACCAATGTCCTCCGGGCGGTTCGCCATGAATGAGACATGATGGGGTGTGGGGGAGTGTAGGGGCACTCCCTTGCGGATGGCATAGGTAACACTCTGGTCCTGCGGCTTCTCTCTCTTTCATGGCGTGCGATCATATACTGGCGACTCCGCTCGCAAGCTCACAACACGTGCTTGAAGGTGGCACCGACAAATATCCAAGGCAACAAGCAGCAGCAGCAAGATCATCAGCAGCCGTAGCAGCAGTTGCGACAATCGAAAACAACAAAATAACAGCAACAGCAGCAGCAGCAGCAGCGGTAACCCACCTCCAGGGTGTACTTGGGCACACCGTACTTCTCGGTGACCACCTTGAGCACCGGCTCCACGACGTCGGAGATGATGACGGGCTTAACGCCGGGGACGCTGGCGAGGGTGTCGAGGTGAACCTGGCCGATGCGCCCCGCGCCGATGATGCCTGTCGCGCGACGCACAGGAGGAGACAAACAATGCGCGTTTCAACGTCAGAGCATACCAAAGTGACACAACAACAACAGGCAGCAGCAACACACGTGGGGGAGGCGACAAGCGTTGAGTTCCCCAGTCTACCAGAGAACCACGAACAACAAATGCTCTCAAGACTATTTACTAACCGCCCCCAAAAAGGGACGAAGAGAGACATAAAATGGCCGTTCGTTTCCTTGGAGAGGGCATGGTTTCGGACGCCACCCCCTCCCGAGAACCAAAGCGCGGCAGATGATGAGATTACGTCGTCGGTGTCGTGTGCGTCCGCACAACAAAAAACAACAGAAAGCTCTACATTTATAGTACGCCCAAAGCAAAGGAGGTCTGCTGTTTTCTGGGTGGTATGCATATGATCGTCCATGCCCCGACACAAGGGCCAACAAAGAACTAAGAGGTATGCGTGTTCCAGAGCCTTATCAACAGGGCCCTCCAATCGTGGGTACTCGTTCTACAGCTGCGGCAGTTGCTTTCCACGCGCGGGTCACAATTGCACGCGGGGTCTGCCAGGGACGCGAAAGAGATGCGCGTCGCAAAAAGTGAGCATACGGAGCAGGTGCGTCTCGTTCTAAGGCAGCGTGCGTCCTCACCCGCTTTCTCTACACTAGCGGGGGCGAAAAACACCGCCAAGAACCCTCAACACAAACAAATACAGTTGCGCCTGGAAATGAAAGCAATCGTTGACGTTCCAGCGTTGTTGGTGCACTTTTTTGCGCTTCAGCAGCGACCGGTTGGTCCTAAGGATTCCCCGACAATAGGCCCAAAAAATAAAAAAAGGAAACGGAGTCGCTGGCTTTCTAGGATCTCAGATGGTGTGAAGCCTGTTGAAGCCTAAACGAATCGCCGCTGCTTTCGAAGATCTGTCGTTCAGATGGTGTGGAACCATTACAGTGTGCTGTAAGAGAGCACAATCCGTTTGAAAGCGAACACGAATCGTCGCTGGCTTTCGAAGATCTGTGGGTCAGATGGTGCGGAACCTACAGCAGTAGTGTCGTAGCATAGAGAGCGCCATCCTTTTCGTTGCGGCAACGTTGATAACTTTCGTAACAGTGGTTGTGAGCTTGTCAGCGACGAAGATGGTCACCTCGCGGCAGGTCGAACACCAAACAATGAAGGGTGACTATTGCCGTGGTAAGGGTTTCAGTTGTTGAGGGCGATAGCAAACCTTCCTGCCTGGTCGCCGAAATTTATGACCGCCCATGTTCAATGGTCAACCGGTCGATGCAAATTCAAGGGACGACACTCCCTTCGACTGTGGAATCTCCGGCGGGCAGTCTGTGAGTCATTGGATGCATGCTTTATAAAATAAACATACACCGCAGTACAGTAGATACCACCAACAACACTGGCGTGGACCGTTGCATTGCACCACTGCCGTGGAAAAGTGGATCGTTGAATTTCGTGCGCAAGGGACACGAACACTAACACGGAACGAGGAAAGCTTGAGCGCATCACCCGTCTTGAATTCTCCGACAATGCCACGCACATGACAAGCCCTTTCACAACAGACACACATGTTGCGGCCAACCACGGTTTCTAAAGTTCATTTATTCGGAGGGGCTTCCCCTGACGGAGGCAATAGGCTCCACGCCGTAACAGTCGTGCTGTGGTTGCGAGTACGAAATGCATGCCCAGCCCCCACTGCACAGCAGTCGTCGTGGACAACGCAAGGTGTCGACGCTGCCGCGTGCTGTTGCGTTTGGGGGCAGCGGACCGCAGGAGCAGGCCCACAAGAAACCGGCGCGTATCGGGGGTCCTTTGGTGCTACATTACGCGTAAAAAGCTGCCGAACGCTCGCTGCTGCTGCTGCTGTAGCACTTCCGTGTAAAGATCAACCGCGGCTTGTGTCTGCTGCCTTTTTGCGAGCAGCATCAACCATGGAAAAAGTGCGGACCAAAATGGAGTACACACCAACGATACCGGATAGATAGGTGGGTGCGAGGACAGAGTTAAGACGCTGCGGGGGGCTCACCGACATTCAGGGAGCGAGTCTGGGATGCAACGCCACGCCCCGCCCTAAAGTCACCCACCAAGAAGGGGTAGCAGCGGCCGGCATCCGGCAGGGACATGCACGGCGGGGGTGAGGGCCAAAAAAAAAAAAAAGAGGAAACCGTCGGGGGCGGGAAGCAAGCAAGGACGCGTTGAAAAAAATTCAGCTCACGGTAGTACGCGTAGCGTGCAGTGCGCTTTCGGGTAGTTTGGGCTATTTACCCGTGTCACACGACGCGAAATACCCATCAGTGCAAACACCAAACGACGCTTTCGCAACAGCAAGCGCAACTCAATACGGGGCCCGGTGATGTACTCCTCCGCATGGGTGTCCACGCTCATGAAAGAAAACGGGTGAGAAGTTATGGAACAAATATCAAGTGGGGGTTCGCTACAAGGCACATCCATGGGAGGACTTAGAAACTCTCCCAGCAGGGACGAGCACCCCACACTACTCTCGGTGCAGCCATGCATGCATAACATTTGAGGCCATCAGCCCCCTCGACTCATGTGTGACAGGGGGCGGTGGGTGCCTGCCACATCTCGGTGTGTATGGACCATGAAAATACAATGCAATTCCCCACGGAACACAACACCGACAGCACCCACACTACCACCAACAGCAGCACTCTCTCCTACAGGGCAATTGGGGGACATCCACCATGAACTGAAGGCGCCATCGGGGCTGGGGAACCAAAGAGAGCATCTGCAATGCACCTCGTTTCCCTGGGTGGCGTGTGCTGCGTACACGCGCACAGACAGCAGGCAGTGACTCCGGGTTCCGAGAGGCCGGGGAGGTGATCATCGTGCTTTGGCGACGCATGCAAACGGGTTTGTAAGTGGGGTGGAAGCTTCAAAATCGGGCACCAACCTCGACGCCGTGTTGCCCATCCGCCGTGCAACCGTGGAGAACATGCTTCTTGTGCCTGGTGTAGAGAGAGGTGCGCTTGTTGTCCTCGCCCGCGCTGCTGGCTGGTCCAACTTTCGGGGGGACACCACACTGGCAATGTGGTAGCTACTATAACGTTTGTTCTGCGGAGCCCCCCCGGCGAAAAAGAAACGCTCATGCATGTGCATCCATCGAGAGGGTGTTTTCCTCATTCGCGTGTATGGGCTCACGTGTCACTCGACGACGTCTTTACCCGAGGTCGGCTGTGGTGGGCTGCTATTTCTTTGCTCTGCTGCAACTTTTCCGCCTTCTTTACTGATGCCGGGGTGATGGCCTCCGATTTTTGGAGCATTCCGCCGAACTGCCGTGGGGCACGCATGTAGACTACACATACATGCTATAAAAAGATTCTAAGCGCCCCTGCCGGAAGAGAATCGGAGGGGATCTATGGCTTTGGGATTGTTCGAAGTTTGTGTCGACTGTGCTATGCATTAATGAACGTTTTTTTTTTTTGTTTTTATCCACACGGCTTGCTCGAAATCGGGGAGAAGTACAAATACAGCGCCCCACCGCTGGCGAGAAACGGCTACTGTCCATACATGACAGCAAGGCCAATCCCTTGGAAGTCTCAACGAACGAGGACAGTAGGCTATTGCTAAGGGTACAAATGCCAGATTACAGGACCGTGCTTTTGGTGGACGCGTGTTTTTTCTGTTCTGCTGAATTCCAAAATGTGAGCCAAGATTGGGTTGGCATGGTCACGCTCGCTCGACCTGAGAAACATCCAAACAAGCCTGATGAATTCTCCCCCCGTCAATTCGCTGATCAACGAAAACCACATTCCTGCTACAGGAACACATTCTACTCCTGTACGAATTATTTAGTACAAAGAACGATCGCACTTCTATTCTAAAACGCGGTGCTTTCACGGTTCCCTTTTGGCGATTGGCGTCACTGCGCTGGCAGTCGCGGCGAGACGACCGGCCTTGTTGTAACGGATACCGATGCTGAACCGGGAGCGGCCTCAACGTGTTGTCCAACGGGTGCCGCCGACCAAATAATGGAAGATCCAAACTGCTCACGACCACTCACGGCGGTAAGAAACGCCAAATCGCCTCCAACACTAAGTCTACTCGTCGTCCGTTCACCGCTATTTCCAGGAGGAGCAGCAGCAGCAGCAGCAGCAGCTGCATGAACCCCCGTTGGGGGTCGAGTGGTTGCCTCTGCAGGCGTGACGGTGCTGCGCCAATGCCGGAAACGGTTGTCTCGTTGTTGCAGGGATCGCTCGTGGTGCTGAGGAAGACCCTGTTCACCACGACGGTACTTGCAGAAGGCAACAACATCGATGACCAAGGTACAGACAAGTCCACCGAGGTAGAAGAGGTTTAACACCAGCGGCCACAGCCACAAGTCCCGCATTCCATCGCGCAAGCTATCGCGGACTTGTACAGGAAGAGAGACAGCAGTGCGTCAAGTCGGGGTGGAATCTTCGTCATGAGTGCAATGCATGCATGTCGCACGTGAAGTGAGGGGGGGGGGGGGGGGGGGGG